TGGACTAACTGGAGCCTCCGAGTGCTCCTCAAGGGAAGCCCCATGTAGAGAGCATTACAGTAGTCCAGGCGGGAGGTGACAAGGGCATGGGTGACTGTGCGCAAGGCATCCCGGTCCAGAAAAGGCCGCAACTGGTGCACCAGGCGTACCCGGTAAAACGCCCCCCTGGCCACAGCCGTCAACTGGTCGTCCAGTGTCATCCGTGGATCCAGGAGGACCCCCAGCGTACAACCACAATTTTGGGCTCAAAATTGTGGTTGTACGTTGAGGACTACCTGTATTGAAAATGTTAAATGCAATTACAAATTAAGGTCATGCCTCATTACTATTAAATAGTTTGAAATCAGAAACTCTTGATACTCTACAACAGGGGTCCTCAACCTTGGCAACTTTAAGACTTGTGGACTTCAATTCCCAGAATTCCTCAGCCAGCTTTGCTTTGTTGGCTGAAGAATTCTGGGAGTTGAAGTCCACAAGTCTTAAAGTTGCCAAGGTTGAGGATCCCTGCTCTACAACAAGTCCCCAAGAGGTCCAGATTTACTTTTGCTCTATCATCACTTCAATTGGTTTTCAAAGTGCTTGGTGCCTTTTCTGTATGAACACAAACTGGCTTTATATATATATATAAATGTTCCCTAAACTCATGTTTATGTGGAAAGGATTAAAGAGAGTAAATGTTTAAATATTTGTCTAACTTGACAGTAAACATTTCCCCTCATATATTACTTTTGGGGGAATCCTTGTGCAATATCAGAAATGTCAACAAAAAATGAAATAAATACAGTGACTTTTCATGTACCACACCCTTGCCAAAGGTCCTTCATTCATCAAGATTTGCATATATAGAGCACAGAAAATTAAGAATCTTGTGAGGAAAAACTGACATGGCAGAATGTACTATATTATTTCAGACTGCAAATGAATGCACATTTGAGAAATTTTAAATATTCTTCAACTAAAATCTATACAAACTGAAACAAGCGTACGAGGAAAGAAATTTCCAGCTCTTCAACATTTCTATTTGCAAGGATTTTTAAAATTATGAAAAGCTTTCATAAATTACATCTGTAATCTTAGAAGGTGTTCTGATCAGTTACACCAACCTAAAGTCTCCACAATAATATAATGGTGTCTTTTAAACTCTCAGCAATCTTGGAGAAATCTGGCTTAAAGGCCAACAAAATTTGATTTAACCATATACATACAAATGGGTATAAATTTGGCCTAAAGTTGACTTGCTCTCCACAAACACAGATCTAAAACAATAGAGAGAATATAATGCATTATCTTCTAGGTTTAGTGGTTACTCTAGGCCAGCCTGGAATTATTTAATAATAATAAACATAAATGTGTATAACAGGACTATTGTTTTCCAAGCTAGTGTTTAAAAAAATATGACACAAATTGCTGGAGATATTGAAACATTCAGAACTTTTACAAAGTATTTATACATTTAAAAGGGTAGAATAGAAGTGAGATTCTCTTACAGGACTGATTCCCAGATATTATGAGCTGCAAGAACCATTGTATTTGTAATAGGGTTATCAGACCTACTAAAACAAAGTCCAGATGATCAGAGTTGTTGACAATTTTAATTCTTTTCTTCATTTAGTGCAGTGGTTCTCAACCTTTTTAATGCCGCGACCCCCAACCGGTCGTAAGTCGAGGACTAAACCGGTCGTAAGTCGAGGACTAAACCGGTCATAAGTCAAGGACTACCCAACCGGTTGTAAGTTGAGGACTTTCCCTGCCCAGGAGCGCCGCGCATGCGTGGTTCCGCTCCCTGCGTCGGCCAAGGCGTAGCTGGCAAGCGGCAGAGACGGAGCAGGCCGACCACCAGCTGGCCCAGCTCAAGGGAGGTAA